GCGGGGGCCTGGCGGGCGGGCGGGGGGGGGTGGGGCGGCGCGCGGGGGGGGGGGGGGGGGGGGGGGGGGGGGGGGGGGGGGGGGGGGGGGGGGGGTGGGTATGAGTGTGGCTGTAGGTGTGGGTGTTGATGTTCCTTTGAATTTCATCAATATCTACACTCACATTCACACCCACAGTCAAACCCACACTCACACCCACACCCACACCCACACCCCCATCTCTAATAGTCGATTATCGTTTGTTTCATAATCAATAGTACATAAGGGACTTTTTTAAATTTCTTTATTTAACGCTCCTTTTTCTTTTAAATTTAACATATTTATCATTATGAACATTAATTCAGACGCCAAATGACTTTATTATGTGCATTCCTAATATAATCTTGGTTGCTAATGTTTGTAATGAGAGAGAGAGAGCTGTAAAAACTTGCAATCACTGATTTGCTTCAAAAATATATGTGAGTTTCACAAAAGCTACCATGACTCTAGATTTGTCGCGTAACACTCGTAATAATTCTTGTTTTTGAAAGTATCGATTACAAAATCATTTATTCTTATCTTTCAATGAAGACTAAATATTTATTGAAATCAAGTGAATGAGTCGATAGGACATGTGGAATGAAGGAAAAAATATTTGAAAAGTCAATTCATCAATTTTGAAAATAATGAATCGTTAGAAAATTTTTTTCTGTAATTAAGAATGAAAAAACTATTGATTTTGATAATCGCGATACATTTTGCCAATATTCAGTTCTGTGAAGTGTGGACCAAACATGTTGTTAGGTTGATTAGACATAATGAAACTGTTCACAGATACTTGCTGACCCTTGCGAGCATTCATATCATATTCTTGAATCTATGGACCACCTGACGAACCGCCTGTCATAGTACATGCTAATCGTAATCCAGTGAAACCAGCTACATTTGTTGGACTCAAATGTGTACCAGCGCAATTGCTGACTATTTCACCATTGTTAATATTCTTCGGATAGCCAAATGAGGTTGCTTTTGCTTGTTGTGGTGAATCGAGAGTGATACCAAGACCACCAGTAACATCTTGAATATGTTGACCTTTCTCATTATTATTCATGAGTACAATAGCAATATCAAAATTGAAATTTCCAGAATTCATCCAGGCAGTATTCGTGACCATTTTACGCATGATAAATGTACCTAATGGACGTGAACCAGAATTGTATTCAGGAACAAAAATCCAACTAGATGCTCATACTTTTTTATCTTTGTCATAGACACAATGACCAGCGGTGACAACAGTATCACGGTTGACTGCATTGACAACTGAGCCCGAACACATGTAGTTTGCTCCATTCATTACAAAATAAACTTTGCCCGCTACTTTAGGCTTTGATGCAACCGTGCCTGATAATAATTGACTTGTTGTCAAGACCATTGCAGCTCTTTCAACTCTTGGTTCATTATTGAAACGAAGAAATTCTTGTTCATCAGTAATGATCAGATCCTTTTCTATTGCTGATTCCATACGTTCATGTGTCCAATAATCAGCGATTGATTGCAAATATTCTTCACGCGATGTGCCACGAGGAACCATTAAATCCATAGCAACCGATTCAGATTCTTGTTCAACAGGAACACCATGATTGCAAGCAACCAAAGCTGCAACAATGAAGATGAGAAAAGTCAACATCTTTTTGCGACCTATTGTTATTACTTATCGATTCTATTATTTTCGACTGTATTTAAATATGAATTTTTGCTATTAAAATTCAACATCGTCAAGTGTACAATCATAAATCAGTCGAGATAATCTTGACATAAACAATATCTTGATTTAGAAAATAAAAAAGAATCTAGAAGTTCTGTTTTAGCATTCAACAATTGTCGTTAAATTTTATTTTATGGGAATAAATCGACAGATTTATGAATATAAGACATTCATTAATTTGTTTTTCAAATATTATGGCAAATACTTGGCATAGTTTTAAGATTTTCTTCTAATTTATTATACGATATAGTATGTGTAATAGTGAATGTCCAAGTAATTCATCAAATGATCATACAAAGAAATACATTCGACGGTAACTATTTTTATTCAGATTTTAATGTGACAAAGTGATAGAAAAAAAAATTATCTCTATTATGTATGACACTCATGCATTGGACTATTAACAGTCAGGAGTACATTGATTTGATGCCTTAGTTTAAGCGATAGAAGATAAAACATAGTCCAAAAATTTCGCTCTCTCTGAATGATTCGAGGATGTCTATCACATTATTTTTAATAGTTTTGTTCATCTTGCTGTATCTATGCAAAACATCGTGCGTTTCTTATTTTAATATGGTCAGACAGGGTATCAGTTACTCCATCGAATTACATGCTTTTTATTTTATTCATTTTTTATCTTATTCAAAAATGTGATTGATTCCGAGAAGCGATGGTTTAAAACTTTTTCACTCTGACATTTAGGTTCTAGTAAACAAATTCAGTATGAAAATTGTTTTGTATGGAAAAGATCCACCATACTTCATCGTGAAAAAAAGATGAAACGAAACTGATTCAAATTTGAGGAGCAAACGGAATTCTTATGATGGGTGGGCGTGGATGTGAGGGTGTGGGTTGGCGTGGGTGTGGGCGTTGGTGTTGGCGTGGGTGCGGGCGTGGGTGTTGGTGTGTGTGAGTGTGGGTGTGGGTGTCGGTGTGGCTGTGAGTGGTCTTAAGTCTTACCGTCGCCCCCACTCACACTCACATCCACACCCACACCCACCCTCACTATTTGAAATAGTCTATATGTATACTATACGAAGAATAAAAACACTCGATGTTTATGTCATATTGTCACTATTGAATAGTGCTAATGTAATTTCACAATGTCTCGATCATTTCAATATAAAGTCAGTCTATACAGAATTTACTTTTGCAGTTTTTCTGCAAAAGTAAATTCTGTCAAAATGGTAGTCTCTCTTTATACATTGTGTAATTACAATTTTTGCTGCTGTTAAAACTTTTATAATTAAATCAAAAGTCGCTCATTCACTTATAATATTATTTTAAAAACATTCTGTCTTAGACTTCATACAATTTACTTCTTAATATACTGTTGGTAATTTCCAAGATACATATGACATTCTTTCATCTTGGAATTTACCTATTAAGATTATATACTTTCCAAGGGACTTTTC